TTTCAGTTGGATTTCCCTAACATATGCCCAGTATATCTATTCCCTTAATTGATGTTTATCTCCAAACTGAATTAATAATATCCTGGAAAAAGAATATTCCTTTGCCACCATTTGCAATTTGCTTTCCAGTATTCCTCTTAACCCAAGTCCCCAAAAACAAATTTGTCAAACACTCTTCTACTAAAGTATTAATCCTTTTTTAAATACTTCAGTATTGTAGTAGTAGTGGTAGCTTGAATTTTCATTTGCTTGTTATTAGGTGCACTACAGAATGACAAAATACGACATCAGTAAATTTGTATCATAGTACAGTACATTGCAGTTTGACATCATGGCTTAAAATGTAAGGCTTCAGTAAAACCATAATTGGCATCTGTAAACATCAATAAGAATTCATCATGAAGAGTTGATTCTTAAACCAGCTTTAAAGTCCCATAAAAGATAAGTACCTTTTGCATTTTTAATAAGTCATACTCTAGGCATAATACCAGTGGAAGTTGGATCCAAAGGATACTAGATGGGGAAAAAGCTGTCAGCCGCACTGTGGCTAATTCAGTACCCAGAAGTAACATTCATCCAGCTAGTCAATTGGGTTGGACACAGACATATGAGCTACAAACATATTTTCCACAAAACTTGCTGCTGTGTGCAAGGACTGGCAAGTTAACATCAACAACTTAAATTGTTATCTTTCACAAGCACCCATCCCTGTAGGGATTGGCAAAAAAGAGAAGTAAGGATAGTTAGGAGGATGTCCAAAAGAATGCAATCAGCAATGCAGAGTGCAATCTAGATCAGAGGGCAGAGAGGGGAATTGGGTAATCCAGACAGCAAACTGCTGTGTTAATCCAGATGGAAGCTGATCAGGGCATGAACCAGCTGCTTTGCTATCTCAGCTGGGAAGCAGCAGGTCCTATTAAGTATTCATTAAATGAAAGTTACAAATTCAAGTGGCTGTATTGATGAAGAGCTTGAAGGAAAGTCCCTCACAGATTTAGATTCCTTCCTAGGTTCCTCACCACTGAAGATGCCCATAAGTGGCAGTCCTGAAAACAGAAGTGGGTGGGGGGGATGGAAAGATTGCAGACTTATTCATGTTCGGTTTATGATGGTGGGAATCCTTCCAGTCTGTGATGCCACCAAGGCACTTGGAATGAAATGCCCACAAAGATTGTGACACTTCTCCCCTGTAAGAAGAGAGATGCAGCCAAAGCAGAACTGTATGTGCTGGCAGCAGTACTAGCCTTTATTAACGATCAGTCTGTTTCTATGTATAAATAAGCTGCAAGAGAGAAGATGCATCTTGTAAAAAAACAAAACAAAACTCAAGTTCTGCACAATTTCTAATACATTTTTATTACATTTTCTAAAGCTCCAGACCTTAATCTCATACAGCTTTCATACATTACCTTTGCTACCAAAAGAGTTAAATTAGTGGACCTCTTTTATTATAATTAAAACGAATAAAGATACCTACATTTTTTGTGCTTTAGCTGTCTCTGTGATGATTCCAGAAAGTGCCTGCTAAACAAAATATCTGAAAAGAGAGTTTGCACAATCATTTGTTAATCTAGCTTCAATATATATGTAGGATCAATTCAGCAAAGTGATTGATCATTGTCTTAGAAGTATGATCAATAAATTATCCTATCTTATATTGGTCAATAAATTATTTCAGTAATTCTTAAGGTCCAAATGAGAAACTGAAACTGAAATTATTTATTCTTAATCACTTTATCATCCATTTTACAAGATTACTAACATAGATATTAAAAAGTATAGGAACCAGAAACCAAACCCAGGTTTATTGTTGTAGTATACAAAATGTTTCAAACACACCTACCTTAAACATTTTCAATTTGAAATTTATTCCTCCATAGTTACTTTAGTAAAGCAGCAACCTGTTATAATATTTATCTTTTGTTCTGTTATTAATAGAATAAAAAGTGATGCATTGCATATAAATTGTATATAAATGGATGTTAAAAAATTATATATTTTTAAAGATCTTAAAATCAGTATTGGTCAGTGATACTCCATTTTGAAACCAACTTGTTCTTCTACAAAAAAAGTTATTTATTATTTGTGTCCAGTATATTAATCTTTGGAGAGAGTATTGAGCATAAATATGTGCTAGAATATCAATTAAAAATAATCTGGCAATAATTACGTGGATCTTCTCTAATATTCTTGTAATTGAATGAACAATTCTCATTTTCTACCTAGCTGGCATTTGACTGGTCTAATTTATCTTATCTAAAAAGAAAAAAGTTGCAGATTTCAGAGTCCACCACTTGGAAAATTCCTCAAAGGTTTCTGGGAAGAGAATGTCTTTTCTACTTCCTTTCTTAAAGTCCACTTAGAAATTGTTATCTCAGCACTGGTTATAGATTGCCCTAAATTACAGGCTAACACATACTTTATTAAATATTTTAAAATCATATTTAATTTTGTGTTGCTTAGGAAATCTGTAACATACATCTCATTTGCCAGGCTTTTAATTGTTAGTATTTAGTTTATTTTTAGTCTGTATTTTTATTTAATTTTTTATATTCTGCTTTTCTGTTAGCTGCCTTGAGTGCTAACCAGAGTAGAAAGTTGAGTTAAAGATCAAATAAGTTAAATCTAGTAGCAAATAAATATATATGCATCCATAGTAGAACTCATTTCATTTAAGCAAGAAAAAACGGCTTCTAAACTTACACTCATTCTGTTCTCTGCTAATTCCAATTGTGTCTTCCAGAGCTTCTTTAGTAGTGTTTTTGGTAATTTTATTTATGTATTTATTCATTCATTCATTCATTTATTTGCTGGTACTTATAACCTACTCCAATCCCCAAAACCTCTGGGCAGTGGACCACCACAAATACCAATCAAGACAGAAAGAAAAAAAGAAAATAACAATATCATAATAAAACACAAAGGGTAAACCCAAGATATCCCCCAGTGGACCGTAAGTTGTAGCTAAAGTCCCGTTGAAATAAAGCTGATGTATATTGTTTCCAGAACAAACCATGTATTTCAGGGGGGTGTATTTACAAAGTGGGGGCTACCACATAGAAGACCTAAAGCAATATCCATATCCTATGTACCTTGTGATGTGGGGAGACTTTCAGTGGACCTCTCTAGATGACTGAACCAAACAGATTCATCTCTGTCAAGGTACCTGATATATTCTGCACCTACATTGTATACGGCTTTAAATTTAAGAACCAGCAGTTTGAATTGGTGCTGGAAGTCTAATGGCAATCAATGCAGCGACATTAATATAGATGTTGTCCTGCCAGGGTTAGGGTTAGCCGCTGCATTTTCTACTAGCTGTAGCTTCTGTTTCTGTCCCATGACTAGGCCTGATTCTTGACTAAAAAGGAGCCAGATAATCTTTTTCCTCTGGATTCATCTACAATTGGTTCCCCGATGTCTTCTTGACAACCTTCCCTAAGAAAGAAAGATTGGAGACAGGGATTAAGTCATCAAACTGAGCCAGATCTAAGGATTGCGTCTTAAAGAAAGGGCACACTGATGCTGCTTTCAAAGCTGACAGCATTACTCCGTCCCTCAAGGAAGTGTTAAAAACCTCATGGATCCAGCTGTTCACACCCTATCTATTTGACTGAAGGGACCAGGAAGGCATGGATAAAGCCTGCAGGTAGCAGAGTTCAAGTATCCACTTCCTAGGGTTCCAAATGTTCAAAAGTATCCAAGGTTATACCATGAAATGGCTCCTGGCTCATCACCAAGAGCTGTGATCAACTGGCATCCAACTTAAAGCAGATATGAATGACTTCATCTGACAGGAAACCCTCAAATTCATCTTGTATGCCTGCAGGACTTTGATCTGCTATCCTTTCCTAAAAGGGTGTGGGTAAATGTGAACAGGGCTGCCAGATAGGAATCTGAAGATGCAATAAATGTAGAAAAAAATTTCTTATTTGCTGTGCTTATTGCTACTATGTAGCCTCTTACCAGTGTTCAACTACCAGTTTTTTTTTCACCATATCACTTTAGACATCTTTTCAGTCACTTTATTTTTCTTAGCTCCTTGATAAACCAAGGAGCCATGAATCCAGAAGGACCCCCAAATTATGAAACTTATTATATCAGTAAAGTAGAGATTACAGGTAGTCCTCCACATATGACCACAATTGGGACCAGAACTTTCATCGCTAAGTGATGTAGTCATTAAGTGAGTTGCGCCCAATTTTACAACCTTTTTTGCTGCAGTTGTTAAGCGAATCACTCAGTTGTTAAGCAAACTTGGCTTCCCCCATTGACTTTGCTTGTTGGAAGCTCCCTGGGAAGGTCGCAAATGGCAATCACATGACCCTGGGATGCTGCAACCATCATAAATACATGCCAGTTGCCAAGCACTCAAATTTTGATCACGACTGCAGGGACACTGCAATGGTCATAAGTGTGAGGAGGTAAGTAACTTTTTTCAGCACCATTGTAACTTTGAACAGTCATTAAACAAATGGTTGCAAGTTGAGGACTAACCTGTAGTATTTCTTGTGTCTGTTTCCTGGCCTGGCCTACCTTGAAGGTATATCATCAGTCTTCAAAATTTGACAGCTGGCCATGCTTGGATTTCCCTGGCATGTTTTAATTTAGTTTATGGATTATTTCACTTTCATTTTTCATAGCATATTTTCCACAGAATTATATGTACCTGATATAAGTATCTTTTCCAGCATAGGATATACAGCTACAGTATATATGGCTCATAATCCCAATCAGATCTTTTAAAAATTTCAACAAAAATAATTAAAAGAATAATATCAGTTTCATCACAAGGTCAATAGTACTTCTTCCTCTTTAAAACATACATATAAAACTTCCTCCTTTAGTGTTCAGTGTTTTCTCATGGATAAAGTGATAAATTTGATGAACTAAGCAGCCTTTGTAAATAATGACATTAATCATCTATCCATCCTTTCCTAAATAACTTATAAGTAGGAAACCATTATGTAAAGCTTGATTTATTAGTGTGTCTCTTTCAGGTGACCAAACTCTAAGAATTTGGGATGCAAAGTCACCAGGATTCCCAGTGATAATTCCTGCTCACCAAGCTGAGGTTTTAAGTTGTGATTGGTGCAAATATGATCAGGTACAGTAGATGGAAATAATTAATTTCTAAACATTGGAGAAGCTGCTTTTATTATTTTAGGATTTAGGATTGTTTTTAGATTGCTTATGTGTAATTCAGGTCATGATCGGGCCTTTTTCTCCTCTAATATAGAATAGTCTATTGATCATTCTCCATTTACTGCTAGTTTATAATAACATTTATACTCACCTTTATATTGTTGGGATCTTCCCTCACTTTATTCTCAGTGTAGTAACCTTGAAGTAAGTTGAGCTGTCTGATAGTGACTGACTCAAAGTCACCCTGAAACTCCCATTTTGAATGGAGTGAACTGGAATAGGCATATTAATTTAGCTTTGGATCTCTGGCATTCCAAAGGTTTTCTCATACTGGAATTTCTGTTAGCCACAGTTTGTTTAAGTTTACCATTTGAGAGCTGTTTATATACTTTGAATAAAACTATTCTTGTGCATCTTTTTATCAGAACTTGCTTGTAACAGGTGCTGTTGACTGCAGTTTGAAAGGCTGGGACTTGAGAAACATCCGGCAACCTATATTTAGTCTGTTCGGGCATACGTATGCGATAAGAAGAGTGAAAGTAAGTTTTAGTATTTTTCTGATTCTTACATTTCTAAATGGCTATGAAAACAGGCAGCCCAAAAAATCCAGCAGAATGTTTCATGAGCTGCACATTTATGTTCCTTATTCTGCAGGCCCTGTCTCCTTCCTCTGTTGTGTGGCAGATCTTTCTTGGCACTGAGTTACATTTCACAAAAGGCTTGCAATGGCATGGGGACACAGTATTTAAATAGCTTATTTGTTTTTTATATTATAAAGTATTTACAAACCATCCTTCACCAGATTGGATTCTAAGGCAGTATATAAAATGATAATGTCAATAAAGAATAAGCTAAATATAAAATAACAGCAACAACAATTGAAATAATAAAAATAAAAATCAGATAAAATATAAAAAATTATACAATTTTATAATTTTTATAAAAAATTATTTAAAAAATTAAAATATATAAACCCAACAGAGAGAGCAAGAATATCAATTACAGTGGAGCCATATAAGAACATCTCCAGTTCCCAAAGACCCCCAGCCCTGATAATATAATCAGGTCTTGAGGGACTTCCTAAATGATAACAGGGAAGGAGTGAGCCTAACTTCGGGGGGGATAATGTTCCACAAGGAGGGCACCATGGCAGAGAAAGCCTGCCTCCTGGGATCCACCAAATGCAAGTGCATGGACGATGGAACCTGTAAAGTGCTTCCCTGCCAGATCTAATGGGACAGGCTGATGTAAACAGGGAGAGGCAGTCCCTCAGATAACCCAGCCCCATGCCACGAAGGACTTTAAAGGTCAAAACCAGCACCTTGAATTGGATCCGGAAGCAGACTGGCAGCCAATGCAGCTTGCAAAGCAGAGGTGTAATATATGCTTTTCTTATCTCTTCACATATAACTGCCCACACTGCTGCATTCTGCACCAGTTTAAGCTTCCGGATACTCTTCAAGGGCAGTCCCATGTAGAGCTATTGTTATGTTGAATGGGACTTAGATGTTTGAACTCCTAGATAAATATTTCTTATTTTTTGGGTGACTTCAAGTCAGTGTTGACTCCTGGTGACTGCCTGGACAAGTCCCTGAAGTTTCTTGGCAACATTTTCAGAAGTGGTTTGCCATTGCCTTCTTCCTAGGACTGAGAGAGAGTGACTGGCCCATGGTGACCCAGCTGGCTTTGTGCCTAAGACAGAACTAGAACTCACGGTCTCCTGGTTTCTAACCTGGTGCCTTAACCCACCACACCAAACTGGCTGTCAGATAAATACATATAAGATTCTTAAAATACTTTTTTTTAATAAAAAGTGAATAAAGAGTATTATTTATTTATTAAAATAAGAATGTTGTAATACAAAAATAATAAATATTTTTTCTTAGCATCTAAGAATGAAGCAAAGTTGGATTCAAGTAAGCTTCTCTAGGTATCATGATAAAGCGTCCCTGTATTGAAGATAAACATTTACAACAGTCTGTACTATACTGAGGATGATGACAACAGTAAAATAGTCAAGAACAAGTCTTGTCAGACTAGTCTTATTTCATGTTTTTACTGGATAACTTTCTTAATAGACAATGGAATTATCTATTTATTTACTGTCAGGGTTAACTCCTGGTCACTGCCTGGACAAGTTGCTGCAATTTTCTTGGCAAAGTTTTTTGGAAGTGGTTTGCCATTGCCTGCTTCCTTGGGCTGAAAGAGAGGGACTGGCTCAAGGTCATCCAGCTGGCTTCATGCCTAAGGTGGGACTAGAACTCACAGTCTCCCAGTTTCTAGCCTTAACCACTACACCAACCTCCTCTCATCGACAAGGGAAATAGTTGTGTCATAATGTAACCTGATGCCAGTAAAGCATTTAACAAAGTACCCTATATTTTGTTAGCAAGCTAGTTAAGTATTGCTTTGAAAGCATGATTGGTTAAGTGCTTTCACATCTAGCTTGAAAATTGCTCATCAACAGTCTTTCACCAAATTAAAGTTAGATGTCAAATTGACTATTGCAGGGTTTGGACTTTACATCCAGATTACCTTAGCTGCAATAAACTGTCAACTGGGGAAATATTGCACATCCTACCCTTCTCCTAATCCAGGTTATTAATTGATAATGAAGGCTGTTTTTATTTTAAACCATATTGAATGTGAAATGCTCTATTTCAAGTGCAAAACAGTTGTTTCAACTGTGAAACAGACTTGCAAACGTTCAGAAAATGATGTGAATTTGAAAAATGGGGCTTATTTCAGATGTCTGTTAGACATTCTTGCTGCTTCAGCAGTTAAGAAAAAAGAAAATAAGAGATGTTTAGTACTATAAATCTTTCTGAGAATTGCTGTTTTTTACCAATGTGCTTGAAAACTGTGGGCTGAAAGTGAATGTTGCTGGAATCAGCTGTGAGGGTGACAAAGTTTGGCTCTTGGTCCCCATCTTTGCTGCAGCCTTTGTTCAACTTTCCAGTGCATGCCAAGGACTATGATTATATACGTACTCTTTTTTACGGGTGACATTATGAGAACTTCTGAGCTGTTGCCAGTTTTCATCCTTCAATCCAGTTATCTTAATCGTGGTAATTAAATTAAAAGAATCTCTGCCTTGGTGCTAGCAGTAAAAGACATAATCTCTCATAAGTGTTTTGTGAAATTATCCAGATTTTCAGAGGCATATTGCTGCTGCAATATGTTTTAGAAGTGTTTTAAACATTTCAATAGTTTGGGTTTTTTTACTGCAAATTTGTTTGTGATTTGAGAATTCATGGCCAGTCTATAGCTTAGAGACAAGTATCAAAGTTGGACCCAATATTTTTCCTCCATTTATAGCTGCCCACGTCCTGAGCCAACAACAGCCTCTGCTGAACTTAAGTAGATTACTGGAGTGGCCAGCTGTCTCAAAATCTGTGTGTAAGCAGCTGATTTCAACCTTGGCCCTTGGAAAAGCTCCTGGAGAGGATGTGATTCCTCCAGAGGTATATAAAATGAATGATTCCTGGTGGGTCCCCATCTTGACTAGACTCTTCTCAGAAATAGATAAAACATATGTTGTACCTTCCCACTGGAAACAAAGTGTAACATACCCAGCCCAACTGGCAGGAACCTGCCAGTTATCACCCAGTTAGTCTGCTAGATATTTCTTCTAAGCTCTATGCCAGACATCTTCTGTATATTGGGAGATATTGGAAGGAAGAAACAAAACTCTTTAATCTAGAACAGGTAGGCTTTCGAAAAGGATATAGCACAGTAAATCGCTGTGCTACTTTGAAGGCCCTTATTCAGAAATATACCAATGGGTGTACAAAGCAACTCCATGTTGCTTTTATTGACCTTACCTCTGCCTTTGATTCCATTGACAGGTCTTGACTATGGGAGAAACTAGTTAGGACAGATGTCGATAAGCGCCTCCTTAAACGAATTATTGAAGTAAATACTGACGTTACAGCTAGAGCAAGAATGGGCCCATGAGGATCCTTGTCAGACCCTATCTTATTGGAGAGAGGAGTTAAACAGGGCTGTTTACTTGCTCCCTTCTTATTTAACTTCTATATTAATGATATTATAGTGGCCGTGAAGTCAGCAAAGCTTTTTCTCCCCCTTACCCAATGGACAGAAAATTTCAGTGTTAATGTGTGCTGATGACATGGCTCTTATTTTCTGTACTGAGATTGGCTTTAGAAGATTATTGGCCAGACTAGCTGATTACTGTGAAAGGGAAGAACTGAAGATAAACTATAATCAAACAAAAAAGTAGTTTTTGGCAAAAGTAATATTAAACACAGATGGACAATTAATGCCCAACAAATACAGCAGTGTCCCTCTTTTAAATACTTGGGCACCACCATTCACAAGTCTCTTTTATGGAGACCTCACTTATCTACTGTCTTGGCAACTGCCCAGTGTACAGTAGGTGCTATTCTGACATTTTTCTGACATATTTTCTGACATAGCCAGTTTGCTCTAGTCGTTAAGGCACCAGGATAGAAAGCAGGAGACTGTGAGTTCTAGTCTGACCTAAGGCATGAAAAGTAGCTGGGTGACTTTGGACCAGTCACTCTCCCTCAGCCCAACTCACTTCACAGGGTTGTTGTTGTGGGGAAAATAGGAGGAGGAAGGAGTGCTAGGTATGTTCAGTGCCTTGAGTTATTTATAAAAACAATAAAGGAGGATTTAAAAAATCTGAACAATGAGATCTATTTTAAATGAACTAAAAATCTTAAAAAAAAAAAAATTCTAAAGGAAGGCAGTTGGTAGCCCCTGCATTTAAAATATTCCAAGGCAAAGTGATACCCCAGTGCTGTATGGGGCTGAGATTTGGGGGTAGGATGAGAAGGCCATTGCCCAATTGGAAGTTGTCCAAAACATCTTCATAAGGAAGAACTTGGGCCTCCCCCAGGTCACTCCTGCTGCCTATTTAAGGATAGAGGTAGGGCTAAGGAACTAGAAAGCCTTCAAGAATCCCATCTTGCCAAACCCTGTTTTCTCCATTACACAGCTGGGAATCAATGGACTAAACTTTTGTCACCCAAGGTATTCCCTACCACCTTTGGGAGAACTTAGATCTTGGAATAGAGGAAATATTAGAGATTGGCTTTTTGAAAGGGATGCTAATAAAGATGCCATTGTAGTACAGTCATCCAAATTTTCATCTTTGGATGAATTTGGTATCATCATTATAAATTTTGGTACCAAAATTTGGTATCATCATTATAAAAAACATAGAAGTCTCTCCCAGTTCCTGGTTAACATAACCCAAGTTTCACTAAAAAGGGCTTTAACATCCTTTTGCCTGCAGACCATGCCCTCCTGCATATATGGAAGAGAGATTTTATAAGCTCCCTGTCAAACAACACCTCTGTCCTTGTGGTGTTGGTCAAGTGGAGGATGTTATCCATTATGTCCTCCACTGCCCCATTTACAATGAGATCAGGGCCAAATTATTAGTGCCAGATGAACTCAAGGGCTCCAACCTTAAAAAATTGAACTATCTTCTTGCAGATGTGTTTCTGACTGTCAGCAACCAAGTTGTTACTTTTGCCCTGCTGTTATTTAAACTTAGAAAGAAATACTTAAATTCTTCGTCTATTTTATGATTTCACTGTTTTATTGTTATTTTATTGTATTTTATGACATTCCTATGTTACGACTTGTGTTTACAACAAGAAACCTATTTACTTAGAAGTATAATAACCTCCTTAGGTGACTGACCTGTAAGATATTTCATATTAAATTGAAGTTTTAATTTATGGCAGGGACAATGGGTGTTACACCAAAGCAACTTTATATTGATTTTTATACAAAGTAATATATCTATTTGGTTCCCTATTACTGTAATTTTACAGAAGATCTTTTCATTCTAAAGGTTTTTCTCTCCCTCCCCCCCCCCACCATATGTACTGGTAATTATTTTGTATTTCTCTTATTTCTTTTGCAGTTTTCACCATTTCATCCCACTACATTGGCTTCTTGTTCCTACGATTTCACTGTGAGGTACAGTAATTATTTTTGATTACATACACATAATCTTGCCTTGCACTTTATGAAGCATGCATTAATTTTTTTGCTAATAGTCTATGGAAACAGAATTTCCAAGGGAAGGTGCTATATTTGGCATCTGTGGCCTTGGAAAGTTGCCATGAGAAACAGTTTGATTCTGTTATGTAGAGATGAGAAAAATATGATTTTTTCCTTGTTTGTACAGAAAAAGAATTCTAGTGCTTTTTTAAAAAAAACAAACAAACCAAGAGATATAGCCTTTTCTTCCAGTTCCAGCAGTGGCAATGTGATTGAGAAAGGGTTACTGCTTTTCCTCTCTTAATCAGCTCAATTCTTTTTCTCTGTAACAAAGGTTTTGTAATTTCCATTGTCAGTATTTGCTTATGTTAAAACTCTTGGATTTCTATCTAGTAACATCCAAATGATGGAACTGCAAAGGTAATATGGAAATATAAATATTGTTTGAAGTCAGTAAGCACACAGAGAATCTGCAGGAGGTGGGCTGAATCTGATCTCATATTACTAAAGAACAGTGCTTCTAGATGGAGGCTTATAACTGACAGGTATGCTGAGTCAGTGATTTGGTACTTACAATTCACACAAAAACTCTACCTGGATCTTTGAATAAAGGATATAGCTTAGTCTCGTTTCTAGCTTTCTATAAACAAGAATTTATATTTGCAGAGGCACTCTCAACTATAGCAAGCTTAGGTAGCTTGATAGCTGTGGGTGCCAAAGTGACTGCAGGCAGTTTCTTTGGTGTTTGCCAAGCCCCTTCTATATCTGACCATGTAAGAAATCTTTTTAATTGAAAAAAAGGAAATTGGACAGTTTACAAAGCAAAGTACCAACGCCAAGCATTAATTTTATTTACAAGAAAGATAGGTAACAAATGCATCCTTAGAAAATAAAAATGGTAGGTGGCAATAGCCTGATGTTTTCCTTGCAAATGTGTCCAGATAAGCTGGAGTAATAGAGAACAGCCTGTGAAGGAGAAGGAATGCCATATTCACCATGGGAACAATTTTAGGAACAATCTTGCCTTTCCCATAGCAACTATTTATTCCAAGGGCTGCAGTATGCTCTCAAGATCCCAGATTGGTCTCACCACTACCACTCCTTCCCCCATACCTGTAATCTAAGTCTAAACTTGCCATCTTTAACCTGGCACTCCAATTGAATAAACCAGAATTTTTCTCATACCCAGTCAGTATGATCACTGATCATGGCTACTGGAGGTACTAGGAACTATAATTCAACATATCTGAGAATCACACAGTTGGAGAAGCTGGCCTTGTGTGCAAACACATGTTTGCTACCTAAACTGCCTCAGAATTAAGCCTAGGAGGAGAAATATATTTATTATACTGCAGACATAATTTTATTATTGTGCTTAGGTTTATACTTGCAGATTTTAAAGTGCTAACTAAAAATGTGTGTATTTTTCTATTTAAATAATAATGAGTGGGGGGGGGGTAGTATTGGCTGTCTGCCATGACAGATGCTCTTTATAAAATAACTGTTTTTTTAATCAGTATTTTGGAGTCAGTAAGATTATTTTTCATAACTGGAACATACCAAAAATAATTTTCATAATAACATCGTGCCATTTGTTATTCCTAAACTGTTTATGAACCTTGATCTGTTTCTTGTTTTTGGAAGATAAGCTTTGTGTTCCAGCATTAATAAAATCAACTAACTAGGTATCTTCGTAACTTTTTTTTTTTTAAATAAAGCAGACCTGAGCTTTTCTCTGGGTGGAATACTGTTACTGGTAAGCTGTAGCAATTCAATAAAATCAGTTTATAACATTAAAAAGTATATATTTTAGCCCCCCCTCTGCATTTCGGAATGCTTTTACTTGCTTGTTCTTTTTCTTTTAAAAAAATTATTTAAGTAGAAGTACTTTTAATTTATTTACTTTTTAAATCTATTTTTTATAAAGTTCCACTTTATTCTGCTTTGATCAGACCCCATCTCAAGTACTGTGTCTGGTTCTGAACATCATATTTTAAGAAGGATTCTGGGCATGTTTAGAAGACTGAGGGGGGATGTAACACTCTCAAATACTTGAAATGATGTCACATGGAAGAAGGCTAAGACCTCTTCTCTGTTATTTGGAGTTCAGGACAATAAATAGATTATTTAAGTTTCAGGAAGGCAGAGTACAACTGAACGTTAGGAAGAATTTTGTAATAGTAGAGTAGTTTGACAGTGAAGCCAATTTCCCAGTGATATAGTGGTTTCCCCTTTGTTGGATGAGTTCCAACAGCAGCTAGACTGCCATCTGTTAGGGATGCTTTAATTTGTATTCCTGCACTGGGCAGGGGACGGAGTCAGCACCTAAATTACTCCTCCTTACTCTATGATTCTATGAAGGGTGAGGTGGCAAAATTAGTCAGTTGAGGCTTTCTCCATCATTTGAATTTCTGTATGTCAGGCTATTAAAGGTCCATTAGTAATCAGAGTAAATATTACAGAAATGTGACATTCTGTTATGTTTATATCTATTTAAAATACATATTGTTCAAAAGGAGGTGCTGGTAATGGTGGATAACCTATGTATATTTTGAAGCCCAGAAAATGCTCTTGGAGTGTATACTCATCATTATAGTTAGGAAAGTAGAGAATTCTTTTGAGGAATATCTATTTGTTCCAAATCATCATAAAACACTCTCTAGTTTATCTGGTAGGACTTGCTAAACTAGGAAGAGAATGTTGTTCAGCAGAGAACCCTTTTCTTCCCTGATTGTTGGTCTCTATCCAGTTCAAATTACCTTTTACCAGTTCATTGAAGCATTATTTTTCTGTGTGTTCCCTAAACATTAATTAATAGCTAAAATTAATAGCTAAACATCCTGTACCATACTGAGCAAGTATAAGATAAAGCTGATAATACCATTGACTGAAGAAATTTAGTTTTGTGGGTTTTTTTTAAATCTAATGGACACAAACATTTCACAGTTGCAACCAAAATGGCATGAAGATCCTGATATCTTCAAAGAGGAGTCCTGAACAGTGATAGTTTCTTGGATTTTTTCTCTTTTAACAGAAAACTCTGAAATATCATGATTTGGTGTAATCTCACATCATATTATGTCTCATATGCATTATTATTATATACAATTGTTAGTTCCAGACAATTTTTTTGTTAGGGGTGTTTGTATTCTCTTCGCTGGTTCTCAGATGCTTGTGTTCACTATTTCTTATTTGAATATACATATGTGATTATACAAAAAGCATATAAGTGCTTTTTAAGCACTTATCTATTTAATCTGTACTGTAATTTAAGCACTTATCTATTTAATCTGTACTGTAATTTAAAATGCTAATTTAAAATAGTATGAACTTCATGCACTGGAAGAAAAGGCCAGATTGTAGCTTTTGACTGAATTTGCAATAATATAATGTCTCTGCAGGGAATTGGGAAAACATTTAGTGCAAGTAATGAATAACACAGTACAATGCTATTTAATCCATAGTAATCAAACAATATAAACCACCCACAAAATCAGTTTGGTAACAGGAAATGTCAAAGTTTAAAAAGGGATAGATAGTAATTTTTTAAATTGGCGTTGTAAGAAATTTAAAGGTTCTTTAACTCATATGATCTGGTCTTGTCCAGCTGTAGCTTGTTTTGGTTTCAAATCACTACATGTATCAATACAATTTTGGAAAGAAGAATGACTGTTAATTTGATTTTAATTAATTATATTTCTAAAACATGAAATTTATCATCTCATGAGGATCTTTGGCTCTGTCAAGCCTGGGGCACAGCAGTATGGTCTAGATTTAATAATAACTGATAATAATTTAATAAGACCTGCAACATGGGACAATGCAGCCAAAAACATAATGAACATCCTCTTCAGAAAGATAATATAGACCTTACAATCTCAACAGGGAAACAGATTCAAGTAATAGCGGAGATTAACCCCTTATATGAAAACAATATGTACATGCCTTCCCTTCTCAAGGGACAGCAAATAATATAGCCCTTTGCCATAGAGATGTAGGGCCCTCGCATCCACCTGTATTTAATTTTTCAAGATTCAATCACAATGATATCCAGCAGGCAAGAGATCCAAACTTGTCCTTTGAATTTAATAAGCAAACAAATGTGGTCAAACTAAATATCTCAGATGAAATAACAGCATGCCCAGATCCAGTGGCTAATCCTACCCCAAGATATGAAATTACTGTCGTCAAAGAATAAATAAAAGCAAACCTGCCATGGGTTAAATCAAACTGATACTAATAATGCACAAGTTGTAAATGAGGCATGTTCTTCTGGTTTTGTAAGCAGAAAAAGGACTGAACATAATAAATGATGACTATGTCAGGGATGTGTAAATAGCTTATCCATCCTAGTGTGGAATATAGCAGGATGAAATGCTTAAACTACTGACAAGGTTTCCATAAAGTTACTAAAATTATATGACACAGTATGTTTGCAAGAAACTTGGATCCCAGAAAACCAGTCTGATATAATTTATTTAGCTGGTTTCAGATCATGGGTCATTCCAGCAAGGAAATTACATTTTATGGGCCACTCTTATGGGGGTTTGGCTATCTTGTTAAATAGGAAGTGGAATCTGGAGGCAGTGCAAATAAATCTGGACTGTAATCCCTCTTTCTTTATAGTGAGATTTATAATAATAAGTAAGATTGGCCTAATAATATTAAATGTTTATATGCTTTCCAGAGGTGCTAAATCTCAAAATCAGGATCACTGGGCTACACTTGAAAATACAGTTGATGCTCTAGAGGACAGATTCCCACTAGATACTGTTATTATAGTGGGTGATTTTGATACAAGAATAGGGGGTGATAAGCACAAAATAGCAAAACAGTTGAAACTTGACATTGATGAACTTTACCTTACTTTCCTTTATATTCTGAAGGACTCTAAAGTAAACCTAGTAGGGTTTAAACTTCTAAATTTACTTTACAAATGGAATTTTCAAATTCTGAATGGCTCTTGCCTCAGAGAT